ATTACATTACATTTACATTACATTTACATTACATTTACATTACATTTACATTACATTTACATTACATTTACATTACATTTACATTACATTTACATTACATTTACATTACATGTACATTACATTTACATTACATTTACATTACATTTACATTACATTTACATTACATTTACATTACATTTACATTACATTTACATTACATTTACATTACATTTACATTACATTTACATTACATTTACATCACATTTGCATTACATTACATTTACATTACATTACATTTACATTACATCACATTTACAATACATTTACATTCATTTACATTACATTTACATTACATTTACATTACATTTACATTACATTGCATTTACATTACATTACATTTACATTACATTTACATTACATTTACATTACATTTACAGTACATTTACATTACATTTACATTACATCACATTTACATTACATCACATTTACATTACATTACATTACATTACGTTACATTTACATTACATTTACATTACATTACATTACATTTACATTACATTGCATTTACATTACATTACGTTTACATTACATTTACATTACATGTACATTACATTTACATTACGTTACATTACATTACATTACATTACATTACTCCATTACACACACACATATATATATATACAGTATATATTTATATATACACATACATATCTCGGTGTGTGTGTAGTAAATGTGTTCTAAAGTGGCTGGATTACAACTTGACCCAGGCACCCTCTATGCTGCAGCCGCTGCCCCCTCCGCAGGTGTGGAAATTTCGAACCAGGGGTGCTCAACAGCCCAATTTTTTTCCCACCCGGAAATGCCCTGCAAAATGGAAGTTTTAATGGGCATATCCACTACAATCCATCTAGTCCTATTTTTCGTGAATTTGTCCTGCGTTGCTTGGGCCTGGGATAATCCAACCATCCCATGGACCCGCAGAGGTTTTACAATGGGTGGAAGTCACCAGGATATGCTGTTTTTTTTGGATACAATGATTCAATAATACCAATAATCAATAAGTCCATAAGTCAATAATTAATATCCTTTTTGGTGAATCAATAAGTCAATGGATTCAATAATCCCATACCCACAGAGTTTCCCATTGAAATGCTGGGTCTCTATGCAAGAGCTCCCCTCTCAAGTCAACTTGGACTGATGAAGCACCAGTTTTCTCATGGGGGGGTAAATTGGGATAATCCCAGTTGCACATGGCACCCTGAATATTACTAAACTGGCTAAAGGGCTAAACTGATTAATCCAGATCCAGCTGGGTGTTTTTTGAATGGCTTCCCAATCCAATACGAAACCGCAAAAGACTATACGGTTTCTGGTGGGCGATCAAGAGAAGGGATCGTTTTTGGCGTGACCAGTGGTAATACAAGTCAACCATGGCTACTCTGGTAATTACGACTCGTTTCCCCTACATGCACACACACGCACACACACACACATATATATAATGCAATATAAGTGTGCATATGTATATATATATACATATACACATATCTTGTTTACACATACATACCGATATACATATAATTACATATAGATATCGGTATCCCTAGCCAGCTGGAAAAATGCAGTGGCCATGTTTTGATCGCCAACAGTTTCTTGCGCCAGGAGCCGCCCCCCTTCTCTGCGGAGATGGGCGAGGCCGGTGTGGCAGAATTTCATGATTGAAAATACTGCATCTAAATATGTTTGGATTCCTAATGTGTCCCTCTGAAGTCTATCCATACTGTAGCTCTGGAAGGTTGGCCCTATCACTATTTCACCACAGGTGATGTTTACCAACAGCGACCGGGCAAAATTTGTTCGAAAATGGGCAAAGTTTTCCGTGGGAAATCTGCAGAGGTGTCGGCAGCTCCCTACTCCGCACCTGTGCCTGGGCATGATTTCGCAGATGTAGATGATTGATGCTGATGTTCACAAGGCGACCTCGTTTTGGCATCCAGATACATCCCCCAGGCCCCATTTTGTGTTCCACATTGTTACCATAGACCTTAGCATGTCAACATATAGATATAGTGACCCCAACAAAAGATGCCAAGACGTGTTTCCAGAATGTGAATTAGATATTTACCTCATATTTACCTCATATTTCCAGGTTTTCCCACCTTTTCTTCTATCAGTTTTGTGGTTGCTACACTGCTACACTGCTCCGAACAAGCCGCTCAGATGTCGGTGCAGTATTCTGCCGAGCTTGGGGAGGCGCGGCGTTTTTTTTCATGATGGGTTGGTAGTTTTTTTTTCAAAAAATGGCTGGTTGGTGGTGACTGGAACCATGAAACTTTATGACTCCCAACTGACGAACTCATATTTTTCAGAGGGGTAGGTATACCACCAACCAGATGGAAATAATGATATATGATATATATCTATGGTAGTATATAGTAATATATTTTTGTATGGGCGTATTCCCTTCCCCCATTCATATGAAACACCCCCCTTACCATGTTTTTTTGAGGGAATTTACACATCAGGACGATAGAATGGGGGTGTTTAATATGAACGGGGGATGGGATAAGTGTCAATCAAAATGGTTACATGGGTATGGGACCACATATTTTAGTCTATTTGATGATTTTTAGCATACCCCATCCAATTATTGGGGTGCCCGATTTGGACCCATACCGATATAGGAATCTATTTTAATGGGAATGGTGATTCTTGTTGGCAGTATTTTTACCCATCTATTCTTGGCGGAAACAACAAAGTCCATGTGTACGGCCTTGGAGATCCTGAAATCTTGGGTTTCAAACCGTTTCCCATTCCTATATGTATATACCATAGATATAGATATAGATATAGATAGATAGATCGATAGATCGATAGATCGATAGATAGATGGATAGATGTAATGAAAACATATACATCTATATCCTTTGCGTGTTTTTGGATGGTGCTGTCACTTTCAATTCTTCTAGCCTCGATTTGCCAAAGCTTGTTCGACTGCCAGGAGAGTGGTGGTGAATCGGCGGTCGCTCGGTTTTTTGGGCTGGGAAAGGTCCAGAAACTGAGATAACTGGGATACAATGCTAATTTATACAATAGCTACTGTGTGTTTCTTTTTGGATAAGTTTGGAGGATCATTTGACGTTTGTCGTTGCTTCACCACCTTTTTTTCACTTCAATGATTCCACTTGTTGCATCAGTCAAGTATGCAAAGAATGTTGACGGTTGCTTGCCCTGAAATTTTGCCATCGAACGAGCACGTTGCCGATTCCAACAGGATTTTTTCCCCCTCATTCCACCTGCATACAGGCCAAGAATAGGATTCCATCCTTTGTTTTTTCGTAACATTTCCTTGACACCCAGTGCTCAATCCCACGGTTTTCTTTTGGGGCGGAAACCTCTATGGTCACCCTGTCAGGTCAAGGGCATGGGACCTGTGGAGAAACGCCATGGGTTTCCAGCACCCTAAGGACCTGGACGAGGAGGCCAAATTCCTTGACAAGAGTCGTGCCGCCGACTTCCAGCGGGAGTTCGAACGGGGCGGTGTGGGGAAAGGCAGGGCAAATGGATGTGGTTGCGACTGGGGGTTGCAATTGGGACATGGGGTTTAGTTCATGGAAAGTCCGCAAATCACATTGATGAAGGATGATGAATGGGGGTTTACCAGCATTTCAGGAAACCTCCATTTGTTGGATCTTGTTGGGTGGCTAGAGATCGAAAGAATGATTCTTTTGTGGCTGAACCATCTTAAACACATCTGGGGCCTTAGCAAAACGTTTGTGTTTTGCCAATGGTCACGATTGGTTCTGGCAGGCGATGACTTGGCAGACTGGTGCCTCCAGATCTACCGCGACTTCAAGGAGGAGCACCAAGATGAGCTGAAAGAGGAAGCAAGGGCAGGAAGAGAAAGCCAAATGCAGCAGATCCACCTGAAATTCCCCATGGCGCCTGAGCTGAAGGCCCTGTCAAGTGCCAAGGGGGGGGGTCAGTTCCATGCCGTTGGGGATGCTTTATTGTTGGGTTTACCTGGTTTACTTCTCAAAAATGGGACTTGCTAAGCACCATAAAATGTCACAGTAATGGAACGGTTTGGGGTTAATGTAGCGGTTGGAAGGCTCGATGTGTGTCTGAATTCTCGTGACTTCAAGTTCTTGTATCTACCCTCTTGCAATTCAACCGTTCGCTATGGAAAAGCACAAATTTTAATAGGTAAATCATCTATAAATGGTAATTTCCATAGCTATGTTAAAGCACTGCAGGCTAAGGCTCAAATGGTTCGTCGCGATTCACCTTCCAAATCTTCCTAACAACTAGCAGAACTTTCCACAGCATTTTCCATGAGCAGGACAGGGATGGGGCGGATGCGGTGATGGAGCACTACTTTTGGCACATGGGTGGGCTGCTGGGCATGGCCCGTGGCGTCTCGACCGCCGGGCTGCCGCCGGCCGGTGCATCGCCGGCGCCGGCCCGTGCAGCCAAGGACCCGGTGCGACGGAAGCGCGCGGCACCGCGGATGCTGGGACTGGAAAGGATCGGAACGCTGGGACCAAAGATTTGCCAAGATCTGGAATTGAGACTAATTTCTTTCTCCAGATTCATGAAAATTATATGCACTATATTTACATACATCCATACATATTTATGTATATAGACGAGCAAGTAAATACTCGGATGGCATTTAGAAAATACTTGGATTGCATTTACTCACAATAGATTTCACCAAATATCTTCAATCATCTGAAATCGACGTATTTGAACGTGCCATCCCAACCCAATTCAAATCCATAGATTGGTAAACACACACACAGCAAAAACGATACTTTTAAAACCCCCTTACAGCCACCACCCCAAAAAACACAGGTATAGAAAGAACGGGCGCATTTTGGGATTCACAATATTTGGAATGTTATTACGTGCGAAAGCTAGCTTGTGCTAGCTGAAGTTGCTCTTGCTTTAGCAAGCAATAGGCAGGCACCATTAGACTCCCTCCCCCCTGGCCGGCCCGGGTTGAATCCCCCTGCTCCCCTTCTTAGACGCCCCCCTGCACCTTCCCCCCCTTGACCATGGGTTGTCATCATCTCAAAGTCTCAAAGCTTCATTTTCAGCATTTCATCGTCAGCATTTGCATCACCATCATCAGGTGGTTTTGGGGCAGGTACAGGTTTCTACATCTTTGTCTTCGCTTTCTTCATTTTCTTCATCATCATCATCATCATCATCATCATCATCATCATCATCATAGTTATCATCATCATAATTATCATCATCATAGTTATCATCTGTAAAAACTCCTGCAGTAAAACCATGTATTGTATATATATCATCGATCTGCCCGATAGCGTTGGTTCAAAAGAGCTAAGTGCTGAACGGTTCTACCCCCATTGTTAGTACATTGGTGGCTGACCTTGTAAAATACAGGTTATCAGCCGTAGTCTCACTACTTTGCTATGTGGACCCCAATTGACCATCCTCTCGCCGTTCCAGGGTCAGGTCCATCGGCTGTCGCTGTGCCTAATATGGCCGGGGGCAACCCCGAGCCGATGGATGACGAAACAATGTTCCAACCCGTTGTTGCGTACTTTACCTTCATACAAAACAACCTGTCCCAGATTACTAGTGGGAATACCCTGCAAGTCATGAGGGAAGCTGAACAGAGGCACCTTCAGATAATGCATGGAGTAGTTGACTCAATTCGAAATGAATGGTCAAGTAGACTCGTAATGCAGGAGCAGGAGTATGAGCAAAGGCTGCAGGAGGTTGAAGGTAAGGCCATTAGTGCCCTCAACGAGGAGAGGAAACGAGGCGACGAGATGGAGGTCAGGTTGAATCAGGCTCAGGCATCGCATGACAAAAGAATAGAGGATGTAAAGGCAGAGGCAAACACAAAGCATGATCAGAAAATTGCAGAGGAAAGGAAACGTATCACTAGTGAATTCGAAGCTTCCTATGCACAGACAGTTGAACATGCAAAGAATGCCATAGCTGCCACAAAGAAGCAATATGAAGATCAGGCTGCAATTGATCAGGCCAGGTTCATCAGTTTGAGGACTGAGTTTGAGAACTACAAGAAGGAGATGGCCGACAAGATCAACGAGGCAGCGGCTCAGAACCTTAGCCTTCAGGACCAAATCGATGATCTTCAGGAGCAGTTAAAGCATGTTGCCAAAGCGCAGCATGCCTCCGTTCCGAAAGCATCCGTCCAGAATGCCGAGCCGGCCGCTACCACTAGCGTGCCCCACTTCAATATTGCCACTCCCAAAGCATCCGATGCACAGGCTGCCAGAGGCAGTGATGAGCCGATTCTTGAGTTGAAGACGCCTGCAGTGTTGGCACAGGAAGCAAAGGCCAAGTTGGATGAGCTGCTCAAAGGTGGCAGTCCCAAGCAAAAGCCGGCTGTCGGCAACGACCAGCCCCAATTGCCAACGCAGTCAGGGTTTTTCACTCCCACTGAAGCTATCAAAACTCCCCCAAATGAATCTCCTAAGAGCGCAACCAAGCAACAGCAAGTTATGGGTCCCTCAGATCTTATTGAATTGGTGAAAGCCTTAACCCAAAGGGAAGAAAAGGATAAGCCAAAAACTAAAGAGGCGGAACTCATCAAGCTGAACAACATGCCCGCTCCGGAGTCATATAGAACTTGGAAGAATCATGTCAGGGATGAAGTGAAAAGCTGTTCAGATCGCCCGGATGAGGCGTGGCTCTGGCTCAACGAGGTGTACGATCAAGAGTGCACCAGAGAGCAGTTGGAGAAGAAACTCCAAGATCCTGGAAAGTTCCTCACGCTGGATACAAAGTTATCAGCAGCGCTCACGCGCTCAGCCGGAGGGGACCTCGCAACTAGGATCTTGAATTTCAAGGAGCAGCAATCCCGAAAAGGCATCCAGGTCAGGGGAAGATATGTTCTGCTTATGTTTGAGGACTACTTCAAGACATCAGAAGAAGCAGGTAGCCTTTACAGAGTAGAAGATCTTTTGGGTGTTGTCAAAGTAGGCGATACTGTCCAGGATCTCCGAAGATTCATCAACAAATGGGACGCTACCCTAGCTGGCATGGCTGTCACCCCTGATGATGCTGTGTTAAGGGACATCTTGTTGAGGCAGATCCGACCAAGTCAGTTGCTGAAATATGACATCGAGGTGTTTGACCGTGCTCATGAGAAATCCCATGAAAAGTCTTACAGTTTTCTTCACCAATCCATGAAGAACTTGATCGATCGTGAACGATTGAGGGAGAACAGGAACCGCATTGCGGAGAAGAACAAGGCTGGGATTAAGGACACAAAGGCCGCACCCGCCAAAGGCGATGGTCGCGGCGGCCGAAAGGGCTCTCCAAGTCGCGGTAGATCGCAGGAACGAGGTGGCAAAGGTGACAAGATTTGCTATAAGTTCCAAAAGGGTACCTGTGATAAGGGGAAGAAGTGTCCATTCAAGCATGTCAAAGATGATAAATCTCGAACTCAATCACCCAGAAGAACCAAAACACGTTCACCATCAAGGGGCAATAAGGATGATAAGGGAAAGAAGATGTCCAAAGAAGAAATGGCCAAAACCCCATGCATCTATCATGCCCAGGGAAAGTGCAGACGTGGTGACAAATGTTTTTATAAACATGATGACAAAGCCGCTGCCGCCACCAAAGACACCAAAAGGGCCAATTCACCTGCTCCCAAGAAGAAGGGCAAGGATTCCACAGCCGCTCCATGTCTGATCCAGAAGTTTGCATGCATCGTCCGAAAACAGCCGAAGGCAACTTCGTGCTCTGATGAGGCAAGTGTTAGCATGAAGCGTCTTAGATTCCGAAAGGCCCCACATGTGATCGAGGTGAAGGCAGTCGGTCGTCAAGTCCCAGTCAAGCACCGTCCAAGAGAGTTCACTAAGGTGTACAAGACAACTGAAGATGTTCCAGTTTCATCAAAGGTTGAACAGCATGAAGCTCAGGTTCGTGCAAGACAGCTCCAAGAAACTGTGAAACTTCATGATTCAGATGTTGCACCAAGTTGTGGGTTTTGTTGTTGGGATGAGGACACACGCGACATCACATGCAAAGAGTGCAGGTTCATCAGCGGTCCCAAAGCCCTTAGAGACATTGGTCGTTTCCCGTCAATTGCCACAGCTGCGCCAAAGGCCGGCGTTAGTTGGCTTGTTGACTCAGGTAGTGAATCCGATCTTGTGTCCAAAGGAATGCTGAGGGATGTAAGTGCCAAGAACTGCCGTGCAGCCGAGCATCCGATTTCCTTAGTCACAGCCAATGGTTCGACCGAGGCAAACGAGGTTGCTGATGTCAAGTTGTCCGCATTGCCAGATCCCGTGCATCCATATGTACTTGATCATACCCCAGCTGTGCTCTCCGTAGGAACGAGATGTGTAGATCAGGGTTACAGTTTCGTATGGCCTGCCAATGGCAAACCAATCCTAGTCCGTCCAGATGACAAGGTCGTCCAGCTCAAGATCGAAGGTCATGTCCCAGTTTTGGATGATAGTTGCAAGGTTTATCCCAAAGATCAATTTCAAAAGGATAAGCAAAGATCAATTTCAAAAGGATAAGCACCTCAGAAAGTTGTTTGCAATGCCGACCTCACGGTCGAGCTCAAAAGCCAAACGGGACGAAGCCCAAGATGAAGAGCAATTGGACGAGCTGGTGGAGGATGACGCTCAGCAGGAGTACATCCGAAGCCGCAAGACTGAGGATTTGCTGGCTGAAGCTGTAAGTACCCAACATCAGTACACGCATTTCCCCAAGAACCCCTTTTGCAGAACCTGCCAACGAGCAAGGATGATGGCACCTCAGGCACGAAAGAAGGGTGGTCAGAAGAGAATCGAAACTGAAGTGTTTGGTGACCACATCATTGGGGATCATGTTATCATCAAGAAAAATGTAGAAGAGGGTTTCAGGGGGGAGCAGGTTGCGTTGTTGTTGAAAGATCTGCACACCCAATATCGGTATGTCTACCCTAGCCAGTCCAAGGACTCACAAAGCTGTGTTGATGGTTTGAATCACTTCATTGGATCAAAGGATGATGTTCAAGTTGTGTACACTGACAATTCCCCAGAATTGATCAGGGCCATCAAGGATTTGGGTTACAGACACCAAACTTCCATTGAATACGTAGATTCATCAAAGTCTTTTGCTGAGCGCGAAGTTCGTCAGATGTTGGAAGGTGCCCGGAGCAACTTGTTGCAATCAGGACTTCCTTTGAAGATGTGGCCATTGGCCATGCAGCATCACGCGACCGCGATCAATGCAAGCCCCCAGCTTGACGGCAGTGAATCCCCGTGGCAACTCAGGTTTGGTGAAGAGTTCCCTGCTATGCACATTCCTTTCGGTGCCAAAGTGTTGTTCTGGAATAACCCCAAGAGGTTGGATAACACATCAGGTAAACTCTCCCCAACAGCAAATGAAGGAATTTTCCTTGGGTATTACATCCAACCAGGTCATGATTGGAAGGGTGAATACTTAGTTGCCAAGTTGGAAGCCGCAGATTATCATGTCAACTGGGGTGCATTGGCAATCCAAAGAACAAAGAGGTTGGAATTGCCATCCGAGGGTTTCATCTTTCCTTTGAAAGCTCTGAT